AGATTGCTCGAAGTCATTGTGACGGAAATTGAAGATCTTGAGTTTGTTTTTTTTTTCGGCTGTTTTTTTCATCTGTTGCATTTATCATTTCTCTCGAAAATTTTTGTTTCCATTGGAAGTATACGTTGTTGTGGTAATAGTCAAAAATTTCTTCAATTCAGCGAAATTGTGTCTTTACTATTGTGGTGTTGGAGATATCATTAGGATATTAGAGTTCGATGTTTCAGTTGTTTTGAGAATATTTATATTCGACAAATACTGATGTGCATTTGCACAGCTACCATTGAGTTCCACTGGTGCTCTTACAAGAATATAATTCACGATATGCTTTCATTCTGCAATATCGCAGTACTCCTTACAGGTGTGCTTGTCCAATCGTAACAATTTCATGCCTCAGCTGTGCCAATGAAACGTCTGTGGTCATCTTCCGGATGTGTGGCCATCTCCAGAATCGTCCGGCGAGGTATCCGTCAGAAACGTCCAGTTCCGGAACCATCACCATCCGCAGCTAATGCACCCGTTGAATGGTTGAAGGAGTCGACGACATATGCAGACACTCATTCGGCCGTTGTTGACCCGTATACGAAATCGCCTTATCCGGATGAGGTATCCATATTTTCTGTTTCATTCCAGCTCTGATCAGATTCCATTGTTATTAGGAAATCAGGTGTTTGACTTCAAAAAATTGTATATATCATTTGTAATTCATCAGGGAATTTGTATTCTCTATCATTTACAGTATTGCTTCATCTACTTGACTACAGTGTTTCTTCGAAATGAGATTACTGCTACAGATCAGACCCGTCAGTGATTCTAGGCCTTTCAGAGAATATTTATTTAGATTGTTTAAGTATTCAGGCGTCAAGCAGTCTTTCACTTTTGAAATAATACTGTTTTCTGATGGTTAGTCTAAATCCAACGATATGGTGTATTTTGGATCTTCTCATTCAGAGATGTTATAAGGGCTATACATGTTCCACTTAAGGATATAGAAGAACTTCTGAGGAAAGGCGAAGCTCAAAGCTCAAAGTCGTCTGCGTACAAGAAATGGGTGGCAGAAAGGCATAAAAAACGGAAAATTTTTCAACTGAATTTCGATCATATTCCAATAGAGGAACAAATTGTTGCGCTATTCCCTGGTCAAGGAGCACAACACGTTGGGATGGGTTCAAAGGTATGATTACTTCAATTTTGACCTTTACGGAATTGTTTGACACGAATATTGTGAACAGATTTATTGTTGTCTGTTATTATTTGCAGTTGATTCAATGCAGTTCATTGGCCAGTTATATATTTGAGTACATCATGAGAGAAAATACTAGTCTCATTTAAGCCTTGTCCACACCGATATTTGTGCCTTAATTCCAGCTCTCGGAATGCCCAGAAGCTTGTCGAGTGTACGATGAAGCATCAGAAATACTTGGCTACGATATCAAGAAACTTTGCTTAGAAGGTATATTCATACTACTGTTCTGTATTTCATTGGTTTTCGTATAGCATTGCGATGGCTCATTCGGATTTTTGTAACGATCAGGTGAGTTTAGGTCCGAAATCAAAACTCGATCAAACAATATACTGTCAACCGGCCGTTTTTGTCAGCTCGATGGCTGCACTCGAACTGGCGAAGAGCACGAAGAATAGTTTCATGGATCGAGTTACAGACACGGCTGGTTTTAGTGTCGGTGAATATGCAGCGTTAGTGCTTGCTGGTGTGATCTCATTTCAGGATGGTAAGTTGCGTAGTTCTAGAAGCACTTCTTAGGCGTAATGTACACTTTTGACTTTAAATAACCTTAATTCTCATTAAAATGTGAATATTTTCGCTGGAAAATCACGAAGAATTTCTTTAAGCGCAGTGTGATTGTTTTGTAGAGGTCAAGAAGTAGATGTATGAGGTGTATGCAATCAGTTGGGTTTCTAACGTGTAATGAGAATATTAGAAGTGAAAGTGATCACGAAACAACTGTGGGANCAGTACCGATTGTAATTTTATTTATGAGGTTTGCAAATAAGTGATTCAACCGATTATATAAACTATCTCTTGAAGCATTACGTCTCGTGAACACAAGAGCAAAACTGATGCATGAGTGTAATCAGCGGATTGCTTCGGGTATGGTCACTGTCCGAGTATCTGCCGCATCTCGCCTCGATGAAGCTATGGCTGATGCAAGGGAGTTGGCTAGGTATTTCTTGTTCCGTTTGTTTTCGCTCAGATTTCAGATTTGTTACGAATTGTTTTCTAGCCTAGTTAGGTTAGGCATTTTGATTCAGCAGCGTATTTTGAAGGGGAGAATAAGTGAAAGCTGTTAGAAGAATTAGATGGTACTTCAGCAAATGAGTATTTTCAAATGGAAGTGTAAGGTTTGGTTTTAGATATTGTTTGAAATGTTTGTTTGGAATTTACAGTGAGAAGGGTGAGGAACCAATATGTGAAATCGCGAATTTCCTCTTCTGTGGAGTGAAAGTGGTTGGCGCCTCAAACACATGCCTGAAATTCCTGGAGGATAATCAAGAACGATACGCGTTTCAGGTGCAGTTGCGAAGTTTTTTTAGTATTCGATCAAGCTTCTGAAGTTTTTGCCATGTTTGAGAAGAATTGTTGGTAATCTGATTCGAAAAATTCGAATGTTATGCGGATAAAGGTTGATTTTTTCGACGATCGGAAATTTTCAGTCGTTCATCTGTAATCAGTTAATGAAATCGCATTGAAAACTACAAATTTTATTTTTTTCTGTTTGGGAATGTTTGAACAATCATTTGGGATAGCATTCGTTTAGGTGGTGAAACGATTGGCTGTTAGTGGTGCCTTCCATACGAGACTGATGAACGATGCTATAGAGCCAATGCGAGATGCACTGAGAGGTAACTTTCTTGTTT